GTCTGGGTGAGGAGCTGTGCGGGGCGTCTCATAGACCTCAGGAGAAAGCAGTCCTGGGCGGTGCCCCTGGACCAGAGGAGGCAAGGCCGTGACCCACGGGAGCGACGCCACGTAGCACTAACCCTGACCGACGCCAGGAGGCCCCCTAGAAACACCGAGTCGCCAGGGCGACTGCAGGTGATCGAGTTGTTTAAACTGCCAGTTACTTCTAGTTTGGCTTATTGAGAACTTCTGTGACATCAAAGGCTATTGCGAACACACTTGATTTTTTTGTTTTTTTTTGAGACAGGGTCTCACTACGTAGTTGAGACTGACCTGGAGCTCACTATGTAGCCCAGGCTGGTCTCCAACTCACAGCGACCCTGCTGCCTCAGCCTCCCGAGTGCTGGGATTACAGGCGTGCACCACCACGCCCAGCTATTGCGAACACACTCGATAAACGAGGGACTCTTGTAGGTTGACCACTTCAGTTATGATCTACAGCTATGATCCAAAGCCATCTCTTCCCTAAAACTTTTCTTTCCTAGCCACCTTAACTGAAAATAATGTTTCTTTACACACACACACACACACACACACACACAAATATGGTCAGTAGGGTCATCATACATGCATGGTTCAATTTAAACAGCAAGATCATTTCTATAGATTTATTTATTTGTGGTATCAAGGAGTGAACTCGGATCCTTGGGCTTGCAAGGCAGGCGCTGGAACCACTGGGCTAAATCCCTAGTCCTATTTCTATAGATTTAAAAGCGAACAATCATTTCAAACAAATTACGGTGGCTAATTGCTAGTGTTCTAAAATGGTTTGGGAGCAACTCTGATATTTATGTAAAATAATGGGATTCAGGTCCCCTACTAGACAATCTTGACCTTGTCGGCTTGTCTTTTACATGTGTGAGTAGCCTTTCACGCGTTTAGTGGTTATAGGATCTAGAATGTAGATGTCTTGTCCAGCCATCTGAAACAAAAACTAAAAGCTTTGTGTGCATTTTTCATTTGAGATTTAATCCAATTTGAATGCTTTTTAGCAGAGGGGGAAAAAAAAGTTTCTTGAGGCTCCAGGCGTTTTGGTTAAAATTACTGTAAACTGTGAAAGGTTAATTACACATTCTTATATTTTCTTTATCTGATAATGACCTTAATGCCTGACACATAAAATGTTCACATTAAATGAGTGGAAAAATAGAACGCTTTTTTTTCCACTTTACACCTGCAAGATTAGTTTACCTATAAACTAGGTGCCAATAAAACACTGATTTAAAGGGGGGGGGTTGTATCATTTGACTCGAGATGAACTGAACTCTTCCTGCTGTACGTCCCAAATACTCCTTGCTACTTGGAAGCAATATAGACCTGCAAGACATTCATTAGGGCCACAGGGAATGGAGGTGCGTTTCTGTAGTACCAGTGGAAGGCTGAGGCAGGAGGTTCGAGGATAGCCTGCATTACATGGCTTTATCCCAGAAGAGCAAAGACCTGCCACTCCCCCACCACAATAATTTAAACAAATCAGCAGACTCCACACCTCCCAACCCCCAGTACCTGTGAATGTGGGGGGCACAAAAGGAAAACAAATTCAAATCTATGCCCATAAATAAAATTTCACCGGAACATACTCACATTCAGTGGTTATTTTCTAACTTGGCTATCGGGCCAAAACTGATTAGCTGCACCGATCATATAGCCTTCAAACAGCCCTTTATAGGAAATATCTGTCAACCTTTAGTAACTTATTTTTGGCCTATAATTTAGGTCCATGTATGACAAATTCATTATTGTAAGTTTTCATTTCAAAGTTTTGATGTGGCAACATACAAATGCAATATGAAAAGTTAACCACTGCCAAACATTTGTAGATCTCATGTTTGGATAATTAGAAAGGTTCTCTAGACCCGGGCATGGTGGCGCACGCCTGTAATCCCAGCACTGGGGAGGCTGAGGCAAGAGGATCCTGTGAGTTCAAGACCAGCCTGGGTTACACAGTGAGTTCCAGGTCAGTCTTAACTACATAGTGAGACCCTGTCTCAAAAAACAAACAAACAGAGTTCTGCCCTCAGCGGGAGACTCACCAATTTATCAACTTACAGCCTCAACAGGGAAAGAAGATGCTAATTAAAGTGAAGTTGCTGACTGGAAAGGAGATTGAGATTGACATTGAACCCACAGACAAGGTGGAGCGAATCAAGGAGCGTGTGGAGGAGAAAGAGGGAATCCCACCACAGCAGCAGCGGCTCATCTACAGTGGCAAACAGTTGAATGATGAGAAGACAGCTGCTGACTACAAGATTCTAGGTGGCTCTGTCCTCCACATGGTCTTGGCTCTGAGAGGAGGAGGTGGCCTTAGGCAATGATGAGTCTTCCCTCTACTTTACCTCCTTTACCCTATCGCTCCTAATGAAGCATATGTTCTCTCACTGGCTGGGACGCCCAAGCCATCGCCCTCTCTCTTGGCTGCCCAGTCTTGTGTGTCTACTGGTGGGAGACTGTGAGGACCCCGGGATGCAGTGCTCTTGGCCCAAAGGGCCTTCGCTGGCTATTGGGTTTTAGTTTGCAGTCCTGTGTGCTTCCCACTCTTATGGCTGTGTCCCTGAAGATTATCTAGCTTGTACTGACTTTGACCATGAAAGCTAAAGCCACAATACAGTCTTAACCTAAGAGGAAATGTGTGATTATTTGTGAACCATAAATGTCAAAAAATAGCCAGGCACAGTGGCGCACACCTGTAATTCAAGTCTCTGAGGACCATAAGTTCAAGGACAGCCTAGGCAAATTAGCAAGACCTTCTCTAAACATGAAAAATAAAGGGCTGGGGATGTAACTCAGTGGTAGAGTTCCTCCACTTGAATCCCAATGGGAGAGGGGGGTCAGTAAAAAATGTAACTCATATTAAAAACAAATACAGGTTTGTGGCCGGGGATTTAGCTCAGTGGTTCTACTGCCTCGCTCGCAAGCACAGGGACCCAGGTTCGATCCCCAGTACCAAAACAAAAAACAAAAACAAATATAGGTTTGTAATAACACAAAGCTAGTATTTTCAGTATGCTGTAATTTAAAATATTAGAAATACTGAAAGTATGGGGAAAAAAATGAGAACCAAGACCTGTCACGTAAAGGTACAAGATCCCAATGATAAATGTAACTGTACTGTATACCTAAAATGTACCAATAAACTCCATAAAAAATCCTGAAAATTATATCCTTATTTATCAAGTAGTTTGAACTGGACCTTCCTGTTGTATTATTTAAAATAAGGAGAGTTGGGGCCGCGGATTTAGTTCAGTGGTACCACCACCTGCCTTGCAAAAGCAAGGTCCCGAGTTTGATACCCGGTATCAAAAAAAAAAAAAAAAAAAAAAAAAAAAAAAAGAGGGTCATTTCTGTACTGTGGCGATTGTCCTCCTAAATTCAGATCAGCTACCAAAATTTTATCCTTTGTACTTTTAATGCCTTGAAATTAACAGTTCTTTTCATGTGAAGGCTTTTGCAATCATCTCTTCCTGAGTCACATTCATCTTTTTGTCACAAACCCTTCTTACACCAGGTTTGCCTTCACTAAGCTTCTCTGGCTGTGGACAACTGCTTCTTGTACAGCAGCAACACCAACAGCCCTAGTTAACTATTGTTAGTAACACTGATCTGAACCCTGCTTAAGTTTTTGGCACAGTTGGGTCTTGCTCTGCTGTGCAGCCCAGGACCCTCAATGTTGAAATCTGGATGCCAACTTCAGTTATCGCCTTCATCTGAGCTTGCTGCTTTAAAGAGCTTAACATCAACCAATTCATAGCTTTTTTTTTTTGTACTGGGGATCGAGCTCTGGATCTTGTGCTTGCTTTCGAGGCAGGCTCAGTGCTACTGAACTATATCCCAAGCCCTCTCAGTGCCTTTTGAAAGGATGAAACCAGCTTGCATCCTTGTAATTAGCTTTATTCTAAACCGGGCGTGATGGTGCATGCCTATAATCCCAGCACTCGGGAGGCTGAGGCAGGAGGATTGCTGTGAGTTCGAGACCAGCCTGGGCTACATAGCAAATTCCAGGTCAGTCTCAACTACATAGTGAGATCCTGTCTCAAAAAACAAAACAAAACAAAAGCAAACAAACAAAAAAAACCCTTTATTCTAATGCAGCAACAGCCCCAGCCTGCCAGCCAAAACGTTGGGTTTTTAATTTCATCAAATTAGAAGTAAACATTCCTTCTCAATCATTAATGGCTGTTTCTTCTAGTGCAAAATTTAAAAGATGGGAAAAAAATTTTTTGTCTTGTTTGAGCACTGGAGATCGAACTCCAAGACCTTGGCACTCTCAAGGTCATCAGTCTTTTTTGATATGGCTCATAATGTAGGCTTACCCACTTACTAGTCCAATTGTTTGAATACAGGAAGACTAAAAATTACATCTTTGGATTTTGTTTTTTTGGTACCGGGGATCGAACTCTGGTCCTTACGCTTGCAAAGCAGGGAGCGGAACCACTGAGCTAAATCCCTGGCCCCACACCTTTGGGTTTTTATGAGGAAATATGAAAGTGACAATTTCACCAGATTTAGTCCATAACTTTAGTGTATGATAAATTGATATTCAATATACAATGCAATGTCACAATCTGGACAGTAGTAGTCTATGAATGCCTTTTGCAGTTTTATTTTTTTGGTACTGGGGATAGAATTTTATATTGTACACTTGCCAGGCAGGCGGTGGCACCAGAGCTAAATCCCCAGCTCTGCACTGTCATTTTTTGAATACTGTCTTCTTGGCCTTTCCTTTTTACCTGTGGGCAGTATAACTTCAACAAAGTATCTACCCTCTGAAGGTAAGAGTGAAGACATCAATGATAGACATTGGTTGGTGTTCCACTACCCTGTAGTTTTGATTTGGTCTACTGGACCTTAATCTAAATAGTAAATGACAGGATAACTTGTTAAATGTCAGTCACTTCTGTCAATACCAAGAATTATAATCATTGACCATTACTAGAATTATTGTTTTGTTTCTTTAAAGATCATTTCTATATTATGGATAACTAACAAGAAAATGTCTTTTCACTGTACATCAGTTTTCCCCTCTGATGGGCTAACATTTCTCCCTAAGTTTTTTCTTTTGCAGATCTTCTGGTACTAGTGCTTGCTTCAGCAGCACACATACTAAAATTGGATCAATCTTCTGGCACTTCTTTCCTATTCAGTCTGTGTCCCAAACGTGTCCATCTTGTAAAATATCAGACAGTGGAGAAATATACAAATTGTCTATAATAAGACGATGTCTCATGTTCAAAAGTGGTTTCATCGAGTCAAAACAATTCGTGTACCCATGTAACAGTCTTTATATTTGTCAAATACTGTGCCCTCTCCAATGTAAATTAAGACTGCATATATCCAGATTTGGATTCACAAAACATGTAAGATTGGATATCACATGTTGCTCTTTTTAAAAGCATAAATTAAATCCATCCCAATTGACCCTTACATAGCATTAGACTTTCGTCATTGATGAAAGTGCAGTAGAAAGCTTATGAGATGTGCTTAGATTCAAGTAGCACTGCAAAAATTATCTACAAAATGAATATAACATTTCAATAAAGTAAAACACTTATGACATCACTTTACTGAAAAGGTTTCAATACAATCTTCCTTAGACCAATACCACTTACATATTGGCTTATATATAATTCCTTGTAGGCTACATAGAAAAAAAAACTGCATTACTTGGTTTCCAGTCCAAATGTAAAAAACTTCCCTATAATTCCAGAAGGCTTTGATTGGTCAGCATATTAGTTTTTATTGTATTCAAATTAATATACATATCTGGCTCTGTATCCTGTCTAAATGACAAATTTACACCAGGTGTATTGGTGAACGGAAACTTAGGAAGAGTAGGCATTGGATTTTCCAAATTAAGTTCAACAAATTCTCTGAATGGTATGAAGCTTCATTCTCAGAATGAAATCCATCATCTGATACTTCTAAAAAATCATCTTCAGGTTCACTATGACTTCCTGATTCATTAATCAACAATTCTTCACCAGTACTGTCCTCTGGTTCAAACAGTTTAGGTGGTAACTAAAATGCAGAATAGAAAAAGATCATTTATCGCAAATGGAATAATATTAATGAGCATATTATTGTGAAATAAAAGTAACAAAAATATATCTAATATACTTATAAGTTGTTATACAGTGGAGCACAAAATTAATTTTTCACAAATAAAACATAAATTAGTAAAAGAAAATCACAACTTATTAGATTTCACTTGAAATAAATATCAAAGGCAAATACATTCTAAACAAAAAGTATGAAAGATAGTCGATATAAAACAAACGTTTGAACATATCTCATGCAAATAAGAATCAGCTGGTTGAAACGACACCTGCCCAAGTGACGCTTGAGGTAGAAAAGTTAAGTGGAAGCCAGGTGTGGCGGTGCACACCTGGGAGGCTGAGGCAGGGTCGCTGTGAGTTCAAGGCCAGCCCACTACATAGTGAGAACCTGTCTCAAAAAAAAAAAAGTTAAGTGACTAGCTAATGTGCACCTAGGAGCTAACTGCTGTGATCTGTGATCCCCATTTTTCCACCACCCCCCGTTTTTTTTTTGGTACCGGGGATTGAACGTAGGACCATCATGCACTTGCAAGGCAGGCATCAGAACCACTAAACTAAATCCCCGGCCCCTCCACTTAATCATACACAATTTTACTTCCAGCACTGTCATTTTTTAAAATTTTGTTGTCATCTTTAATTCCTTGTGATTATCACTTCTGTGAACCATCACAATTTCCATCTCTACTAGAAAAGGAGGCAACAAGTGTGCCCTTCGCTCTATTTGTGAGCTAAATAATAGATGCTTACTAAGAACCAATCACTAGCAGATCTTGAATCATGTAATAGATCAATTCATAACATACATCTTTTTTTGTGTAAGGACCGTGAGTTAAAGAGACAGCAACAAAAGTTTATATGGCCTTTTTAGTTAAAAATCTTGCAACTGCATTTTCAGCAATATTGTTGGGAGACTGGATTTAAGTAAATGGTGAATGAAACTCAAGCATATTGGAAAACTGTTGCAAAGACTATGGGTACCTTAAAAAAAATTTCTTCATAACATAATTAAATTTTAATCAATTTCTGTGAGCTGCTGATCCAACCTCACCCCAAACTAAATGAAGCTTTTCCCAAGGAATGCTGGCTTCAAAACAGTATTGCTCATAGGGGCTAGAACAGTGTTGGGAGATAATTGAATGAATATGTCAAATTAGGATGTGCACATGGTCCAAAGATAATTCTTGGGAATTCAGATTCCCTTCTTTCAATAACCTTTAAAAGTCTTTCTAAAGAATAAGGTTCCAGGGTTGGGGATTTAATTCTGTGGTTCTGCCACCTTACAAGTGCAGGGACCTGAGTTCAATCCCCACTACCAAAAAAGAATAAGGTTCCAGAGGAAGCGTTATACAATTTATTTTATAACAGCCAGTACACCAATTCATCAAAATAGCAGCAACCATTCTATTAAGTGTTTTAGTTTTTCTTTTTAAATGCATGTATTTCATAAATCTTTTCATTGAGGACTGTAAAATGTTTATAAACTTAGGTTATCAACTAAAACAAACTCAAGGCAACATAAAACATTCTGCTTTTTTTTGGGGGGGGTATCGGGGATTGAACTTAGGACCTTGTGCTTGCAAAGCAGGTGGCAACACCACTGAGCTAAACCCCCGGCCCACATTTTGCCTCTTTATTAGTTGTATATATATCCCTCAAATTTGAAAAATGATGATAAAATGCCCAATTAGCCAGTTGTGGTGATGTACACCTCTAATCTCAGCACTAGGGAGGCTAAGGTAGGAGAATCACCCTGAGTTGAAGCCAGCTTGAACTACTTAGTGAGATCATGTCTCAAAAAACAAACAAACAAACAAAATCACTTCTTAGCCGGAGTGGTGGGACGTGGTGGTGCATGCCTGCAATCCCAGCACTCGGGAGGCTGAGGTAGGAGGATCGCTGTGAGTTTGAGACCAGCCTGAGCTATACAGTGAGTTCCAGGTCAGTCTCAACTACATAGTGAGACCCTTTCTCAAAAACAAAAAACAAAAAACAAAAATCACTTCTTGGCCTTTGGGCTAAGATCAAGTGAAAAAACAAACAAACAAAAAAAGGCCAATTAATGACAGAATTGGATTCCCATTTTCAGTCCCCAACACTGCAAAGCCTTACCTTAATAATCTTCAAATTCTTGATCAAATAAATCTGACAAATGATGTTCTCTAAGAAAAACACCCTTCCATTTTAATCCTAAGAAGAAAAACATTCACACAGGGAAATCAGTGAACAGAAAATTTATCATTAAATCTCATAATTTTCTCTTATGTCCTCATCCACATACATTAATCACAACAAGTCATGATGTGAACAGCAGTGGAAAGTTTAATCATTGGACATTTGTACTTTCAGCTTATTCTGAAACTCTATTCATAAAGTTTGTTTTCATTGTTTAGCCTTTTAAAAAACATGCGATACATTTTTATGAACTTCAAATCTCTAACGTTCAACCTAGGTAAGGCCTCCACTTTCACAGTATTTAGGAAAAAAAACTCAGGATGAAGATTATCTCAAGTGTATCGCTATCTGCTTTGTTTTTTGTTTTGGTACCAGGGATCGAACTCGGGTCCTTGTGCTTGTGAGGCAGGCAATGGAACCACTGAGCTAAATCCCCGGCCCTCTATCTGCTTTGTTGAAGTCACCTTTGTAGCACACAGCCTGACAGAAAAAGAGAATTACAATAAAGAAGTAGTTATTCTTTGCTTTATATGCAATGCTTACTTTTGGAATTAGACAAGAGATATCCAACTATTAGAAGAATTAAAACTTTAAAGGAAAAGAAGTAGGATTATTTCTGTTATAATAATGAGCTTGACAGTAGTGATGAAGAGAACAGAACTGAAGATTCTCATTGGCCAGGCGTGGTGGGTGCACACCTGTGATCCCAGCACTCTGGAAGGCTGAGGCAGAGGACATCAAGTTTGAGCCCAGTCTGGTCAACATAGTAAGACTCTGTCTCGAAAGATTTTTTAAAAATAGGTTGGGCACACAGCTCAGTATGAAGGCTGTGGGTTCAATTCCCAGCACTATAAAACCAAACCACAAGTCTTAGGAAGCAATTCATATTCTACCATTTAGGGACATTCTGTTTCCTTGGCACTGTCCAACTTTTGCTGATGAAGGTCAGAGGCCCACACAGAGGAGGAAAAGAAGTATTCAGTAAAATGTACTCATCATACTAGATTAAAAAAAAAAAAAATCAGGCTTGGGGGGAGTCTGAGTGCCTCAGTGTACCTTCAGTCCATCCTTGGCATTTATCTGTACAACTGCATAAGCAACTGGAGTTTATTAGTTGGAAAACTCTGAACAGGAAGTTCAACCTTTCCAGGTTAGCACTCCAGAAAATAACAGGTGTAGCACTACTACAATTCTACTCAGTTTAGTTCCAGTCAGCTTCTCCAAATACTTCCTAGAAAAATGAAAAAGGCTCCAAGAACCAGGGTTGATGGTGCACACCCTATAATCCCAGCACTTGGGAGACTGAGGCAGGAAGAGCCATGAGTTTGAGGCCAGCCTGAGCTATAGTGAAATTAGAACTAGCCTAGACTTCATAGCAAGACACTGTCTCAAAAAACATCAAACACATAAACATCCACAAACACAGGATAAAATAGAGAAGACTATTAAAAAAAAAAAAAAGTCTAACAGTGTGGTAGCTGGGCTCCAAGTCAGTCCCCAGTGACCTGCAACACCTCCTGGTATTCACCTCTGGTGCCCTTTCCTCCGCCAGTGCTCTAGCACCGTGACCTAGAATAAGGCAGGTGTGATGGTACAGTCTTCCTAGACCAACTGTCAAGTTTCCAAAAACAAACTTCTAATTGGCCCCTTTCTCCAGGAAAGCCAGATGATGGCTTCAAAAACACTCAGCCTATGAAGAGGTTCACGTGGCAGAGAACTCAAATCTGGTCACCAAAGCGGGGTGTGGTGGCGCATGCCTGTAATCCCACTCGGGAGGCTGAGGCAGGAGGATTGCTGTGAGTTCGAGACCAGCCTGGGCTACATAGTGAGTTCCAGGTCAGTCCCAACTAGTGAGACCCCATCTCAACCCACCCCCCAAATCTGGTCATCAAAATTTCAACACTTCATGGTTTTGTGTAACAAAAGCTCAAAGGATGAAAAACTCAGCAAAATATGACTCAGTTATAACAAGAGCAAATGAAAAGTTCTAACAGACTGTCCAAGAATCTGACAAAAGAGCCTATGTGAAACAAGCAAACACACTAATCCTAGATAGCAAAACTATTGGGAGAAGTAATGTTTGAAAATCCTGTCACCCAGTGTAAAGGCACACACCTGTGATCCCAGCTCTCTGGAGGCTGGGACCATGAGATCACAAAGGATGGCTGAGTTCTGGACCAGCCTGGGAGTGGAAGGCCAGCCTGAACTACATGGTGAGACCCTGTCTCAAAACAAAACAAAAAGTTATTTTAAAACCCCGTAACTGGTCAATAAGCATTTTTCCAAGTGGCCAATAAGATTCTATACCATAAAATAGGTAATTTGATCTCACTAAAGCCTTTAGAAATTCATTTTTTACCGGAAACAGACCTTCATTTATTTCCAAGTCACTGCTATAGTTCAGGCATATTTAATACATTTAAAAAAGAAAGATGATACACTACCTTTCCTGCATTTTTCAAACAATTATTTTCCAAGTTCCACATGTCTTTTCCCAGCGCCTTCAAAAGCATAATTCCTAAAAAAGATATTTTCCTTTAAAATTCTTCTCTGCAATGGTCAATGCCTCTGGCAGTAACACTACCTTTAGTGAAACTTATATATCCTCATTTAAGTACTCAATAATCACAACAGTTCATTATGTGAACAGCAGTGAAAAGGTTTAATCACTGGATATGAAGTCACTAGAGAAAGCAAGGATAGCAGAGATACACTGCATATCAAATAACTGGTTTGGCCGCCACCTGCCTCGCAGGTGCAAGGTCCCGAGTTCGATTCCAGATAGTCCCCCCAAAAAAAATCAAACTGAGAACCTCAATATCACCAATAAAGCAAAGTAACCCAAAAAAGGAACAAAACAGTTGTACTACCTACCTCCCTGTCCCAAATACTCGAAGAATATCTATAGCAGCCACCCCTTCTGGCTTCCAGAGTTGGTTATTTAATAGGTCTATCCGACGATGGTGAACCTTTTAGGGATTCCAATGATACAAATAGCCTGCTGCAGTCACGAGTCCCTTAGGTTCACCACCACAGCTCTGTGCTATTTTAATAAATCTACTCTGCTGAAAAGCAGTTCTCAATAACTCATTTACAAATAACTAAAAGAATGTTGTCAGGCTGGGTACAACCACGGTGCACTCTTACATCTGCCGCCTCCAAGACTTGTCACAAAATAAAAAGTTCTGAGGGCTGGGGATTTAGCTCAGTGGTTCCAGTGCCTGCCTTGCAAGAGCAAGGTCCTAAGTTCGATCCCAGGTACTGCATAAATAAATAAATAAAATAAATAAATAAATAGTAAAAGTGAAAAGCTCTGGGGATATAGCTCAGTTCTAGAATCCTTGCCTTGAATGCGCAACACCAAGTTCAATTGCCAACATCACCAAAAAAAAAAAAAAAGGTTAAACCTGGTTATGACCTAGCAAATCCACTCTTAGGTATTAAGAAAAATAAAAATTTAATTTATACCCACGCAAAAATTTGTATATTAATATTCACAGTATTCGGCCGGGGATTTAGCTCAGTGGTGCTGAGCCGGCTTTGCAAGTGCAAGGTCCTAAGGTCACCGCTCCCCCATTCACAGTATTATTCTATAGAGGCAAAACAAACAAAACAACAAACCCTGTTTAAAAAATCCAAATGTTCACCAATTGATGAATAGAGCGTAGCATGCCCTCTAATATAGTACAATTCAACAAAAATACATGAAATACCAATACACATTAAGCATGGATGAACTAAGAGTCCAGTCACAAAATTCCATGTATTAGTTCATGATTAACTCTGTATTAAGTACCCATTAACAGGCAAATCCACAGACAGAAAATAAATCAGATTTGTCCAAGGACTGCAGGGAGAGAGGTACTAAGAAAGCTTCTTTTACGGGGGTGGTGAAAACGTTCTGAAACTGGCCAGCCCCAGGTACCTGGTCTCGGAAGTCTGAGATGAGACAAACTCGAGTTCCAGTTCAAGGTAAGCCTGGGGAAAAACACAGAGACAGCTCATCTCAAAAAACGAATTGTTCTAAAATTGATTGGGACAACTCGCTCAAATCTAATCATATACTAAAAGCCATCGAAACTTTAAATCTCTAACTGCAGAGTGCTAAGAACTATGCACAAAACTGTTACAACAAAAATATAAAACAAGTGTGGTGAAGGACACCTGCAATCCCAGCAGAGGCGCAGCAGCTGGATGGCAAGTGGAAACCCAGCCTGGGCCACCTAACTGACTTAGCTAATTTTCAAAATTTAAAAAGAAGCCTGGGAATGCAGCTCAGTGCAAAGGTCCCCGGGTTCAATACCCGCAACACACAAAGCAACGGTATTTTAAACCACGTCCTGTTTTCTGCTGAATATTTTAACAACAAAGCAAACATGTTGTGCCCAGCACCTCCCCTGGAGACCAATGCTTTCCCCCAAAGCTCCAAGATGTATTACTAAAAATTGCGTACAAAAACAAAAATGCTGGCACTTATATACGTGATAGTACATATCAATTATTTTGCCCGGCGTGGTGGCACACATCTGTAATCCCAGCACTTGGGAGGCTGAGGCTAGAAGGATCGCCGCGAGTTCGAGGCCAGCCAGGGCTACATAGTGAGGTCAAAGCCCATCGAGACCCTGTGTCAAAAGAAAAAAACAAAAACCCAAAATAAAAAAAGCTTCAGTTCGATCACCCCATCCCTTCTCTGAGACCTCTATGACTGCACTTACCTTACTCGATTTCCCTCACTTCTCCCATCGCGGCAAGGCTCCCTGCATTAACAATTGGTGCATCCTCCGTCTCCCCTGGAGTCACAGACATGTCGCCAAACACCCCAACAACTCGTCTATCACTCCCCAGCACAGCGCTGCAAGGAAAAACACAAGAAAACGATTCTGACCTCATTCACTTCGGCTCGATTGCCTCCCACATTTCTTAAGCCTCACGTTTTATTCGACCCCCTCCATCCTTTTCTCCCCTTACGCTCGTCTCAGGGATCGCCGCCGGGGGCCCATCGGCATGCCCCGGATTCGACTCACTTCTGATTCTGCCTCTCCGATTCGGATTTTGACGCTCTGCCTCACTGAAAGCGCGATGGCGCGGGATAGATCCGGACGTGAACGACCAGACTAAAAACACCTCTAACACACAGCACCAGCCACGTTGCAGCCGAACCCTGAAGGCTTCAGGGGCGCGGTTCCGTGAACCGGCCTTTCCGATTGGCTGTCGCTACACGACGTGCCTATGATTGGCTAGAGCATCGCGCGTAAAGGGCGGAGTTCCGGGCCTCTAAAGCCCGCCTTTCTTGATAAATATAGGTCGTAGCAGCCCAGTCAGCGGGTGGAACTAACCACATGGTGACTCAATCTGTCGTGGGAATCTCGAAGGTGGACCCCACGTGACGAGATGACCCGAAGCTGCTCTGCAGTGGGCTGCAGCACCCGAGACACCGTGCTGAGTCGCGAGCGCGGCCTCTCCTTCCACCAGTGCGTGTGAAAGCAGGATCGGCACCACCAACTCCACGGAGGGCCTGGCGGTCGCGGGGCAGAGGCGGGGGATGGGCGGGGTGAGGCGCCGTCCGTGTGACGTGCTAGCGTAGGGCGGGGAGTGGTAGTGGGGACCCCGAAGTTAGGTTACTTCTGGCTCCCCTCGATTGTGGATTGTGAGCGCTGTCCTCTGACCCGCTTGTCCGGTGGCCTTTGAGGTTCCTTTATCGGAGTCCTGGTTCCCTGTGGTGGTCTTGGGGTCTAACGTGAGGTGTCTGGAAGACAGGGAAGTAGGGAGAGTGATTGCACTCGTAGCGCTTCCGTGGCAGAACTTACTTTCTTCGGAAACAGGAGTATGGATCGAATTTTTCGCCTCTACTGCCTAAAGTTTCAGATTGTTTGCTCTCAGCCCATATCCACAAAGCCGGTCCGATTCTGGCTAGATGTGGTTGGTCATGGCAAGGAAATTTCATCTGGCTCAAGAGTGGGGTAGAATTTGAGATCAGTCTAAACTGAATTCGTGGCACCCGGTGGTGTAAGGTCATTGAAGTACAATGTTTAAAGCGATGTTGTAAAGTAGAGGTGTGGGTAGGATTAATTCTCACACAAACGGCGGCACAGGCAGAGGTACCCTGGCAAGATGTTAATATGATTAAGAGTTAAGCCAAGAGGAAGCATTTGTATGAGAAGAAACAAACAAAAATGAATTTCAAGGGTATGAATGGGAGGAGGGAGCCACTTAAAGTAGGAATTGTGTGCAACGTGCAGATAAAATGTAGCGAAGCATACCTTGGAGACAAATTACCAAAAAACTTTAAATGCCAGATTAAGGAGTTTCGATCTTGCGTGGCTGTCTTTGCAAGTCGTTGTTGTTTTTAATGAGTCTGATCCCTGTATATATGCTATAATTGCATTCTTTTTTGTTTTGTTTTGTTTTTTTGGAGACAAGGTCTCACTATGTAGTTGAGACTGACCTGGAACTCACTACATAGCCCAGGCTGGTCTCGAACTCACAGTGATCCTCCTGCCTCAGCCTCCCGAGTACTGGGATTACAGGCGTTCACCACCACGCCCGGCCCTATAATTATATTCTTGTTTATCTCCTGAGACTTAGTCCTCAATTACAGAGTTCTCTTTGTTATTTTATTAATGGATCGGTACTGAAACTCGAACCCAGGACCTTATCACTGAGCTACTATAAGTCACTAAATTGCTCAGGCCAGCCACAAATTTATGATCCTCTTAGTCTCACAATGCTAGGATTACGGGCATTTGCCACCACCCCCATCTACCAGCCAATTTTTGATGGTTCCTTGGATGGTTAGAAATTATACCTATTCTGTGTAAAAGCTGCTTTGCAAATAAACGCCATTAGCTAAGAAAAGTGCAGTGAAATGAAGTAAGTAGATCTGCCTTACCTTTATTGGCAAAGCAATTTCCTGTCCTTTTCATCAAGTATCATGACTTTTCTCAGGAAAGAACAAATTTGGGTAATTCTTTACAGTTTAAAAAGTGCTTTTCAGAGTCACGAGTGGGGTACACGCCTGTACACCCAACACCAGAGAAGCAGTGGTAGGAGTCTTGCTGTGACTTAAGGCCAGCCTGAACTACACAGGGAGACCCTGTAGCAACCCTCCCCCCACTCAGAGGTCTTTTGAGTGCATTTATAGCCTCACGTATTCTTTTTTTTTTTTTTTTTTTATTTTG